GACAACCTCTCGTCAATATGCGTTTTTTGCATTGCATTACTGCAAAAAACGCATAAAAACTGGGAACATTCTTGGCCATATTCTCCACCGGGAATCGTAGTAATCGAGGTGTTCATTCAGTTTTCGACTTATATATCGGAAAAGATGGTTCGTGAGTTTATTCATCAACAGCGAACCCGATTTTGCATTTTTTTTTTTTACCCATTCCACTTTTTTCGTTTGTGGGTGATTCTGAAGCATCATAAAAGAGGTAGACGATATTTCCCTTTATTTTCTTTTTGCGTCGCGACGGAAAATATCATGATATCAACTCATAAAACACATTGCGCCTTCTAAAATAGCGTTTTTTGGATGTAGAAATTTGCTTGCTGAACTGATTTGAGTTATTTTGATATCTGAATGTCGTGCCATAGCTTTTTCAGTGGATCGTATTGTGGCTGGTGGATCTGAGGGAGTTTTGTACGTGGTTGAGATTAACGACAAGACAAATTTGAATCCAGTTAACTTACTTCGTGGTCACGAAAGAAGCGTTGAATGTGTAGCTGTGAATTCGGATGGTACTCGAGCCGTTTCAGGAGGATTTGATAAGCGCCTGAAAGTTTGGAATACTGATAAAGGTGAGGAATAGGGGTTTTTTCCTTGGGGTGCCAAGATTGTCCGAACACTCAGTGTGGGAATCCATTATTACTAGTAAGTTTGGTGGGATGCATTGGCATGCTAGACGCTACGCAGATTCTGAACTGCATGTCTTTTGATATCACTCGCCGATTGTTCAGTGGATGTTTGTCTCCTCTTCGGAGGATTCCCGAGTGGTCGTTTACATTTTGGCAAATACTTTCAAGTGATACGCCAGGTCCACTGGGGTTAATATGGGAAGAAGCATGTTCTGTCCGATCAAATTTTACTTTTTTACCTGATATTCTGAATGTCGTTCACTCGACGAAGAACTTAATTGCCTATACAGCTGCGAAAGAACACTTTTGTTACTTTGCTGCCTTCATCAAACTGAATATTCGCTCTTCTGTCTTCGTCAGTGACCATGTTTCGCATCAGTTTTTGAGTGCATTTGAGCAGCGTTATTGAAGAGGTGGGAAGGGAGGCGGGGGAGGGGGGAATAGTTTGATAAATTGTTTTATAAAATGTGCACCAGCTGGCAGCTTTGAAGTGCCATTACTGGTTTGAATAGTGCAAATTTGCCTCTCAACCGAAATGAGCATGTCAAGTTTTTATTACTTAACATCGTCTACCTGCATTCTGATCGCAAACTTATCGGTATTTTGCATAATATTTATATATGACGTCCACCAAACACGGGTGGTTTAGGTGTTTGCGGTTGATTTTCAAACCGCTTTTTTCGCTTCACTTTGCAAAGTATTGTTTTGAGAAAAGTTGCGAAAAACCCTTTTTATTTCTCGGAAAAAATGTGAAATCTCTCTGTTTTATTTGTCGATATGAGATTTCCCTGTTTCGTGCCTCCAAAAAAAAGCCCGCCTGGGCAAAATCGGACATACTATCCTTTCGGTGCTTTGGGTTGACGTAGTTTGTATCTCTCCATTGCTTGTCTTGTTGCCACTTTCTTACCACACGTGATGCTTGTGTAAGTAATAAGATATCCAGGAAACAGAAATTTTTGCAGATGATACTTCGACTATTTATGAAAAAGTAAGTGATAGAAACACGAACAAGAAGCCAAAGATATCCAGTGCGGTTACAAAGGTATCCAGTTCTATATTGCGTTGGGAATTTTTTTCTGTTGTTCCAACTTCACCAGTTATTTGTCTTTCAGGTTCCTATGGTTACGTTGGCTGGACACGCGGACGCAGTTGTGGGTGCAGTATGGCTACCAAATTCTCCAAAAGAAGTTGCAACAGTTTCATGGGATCATAAAATATCCATTTGGGATCTCGAGCTTGCAGGTTATCGCGTTTTTCATTAGCTCTTTTTTGGTAAACTGGTTGTTTTTTTCTAATATTTCTATTAGTTTTTCAATTTTTTAAATATATTTATTTCTTCTATATGTTTCGTATGCGGCTGACACACGGAAACGAAAGAAGAAGGAGGGGGGGG